AAAAACCTGTCAATTTAGTCCAGCTTTGTTATTAAACGCTAACGTTAAAAAAACCTGTCAAATTAGTCCAACTATATCATTAAACACTAACGTTAAAAAACCTGTCAAATTAGTCCAACTATGTTATTAAACACTAACGTAAAAACCTGTCAATTTAGTCCAGCTTTGTTATTAAACGCTAACGTTAAAAAAACCTGTCAAATTAGTCCAGCTTTGTTATTAAACGCTAACGTTAAAAAAACCTGTCAAATTAGTCCAACTACATTATTAAAAACTAACGTTAAAAAAACCTGTCAAATTAGTCCAACTATGTTATTAAACATTAACGTTTTTAGGCAGTTTAGTAAAATGCCGAAAATGGCAAAACGTGCCATAAGTATTCATTAGTGGCAAAATTCTTTGACCTGATTTGTTCATTGCGCATCATGCAACCCAATCAGGTGATAGCATTATACGGTTCCTTGTTAACTTGAACTCTTGTATCCCCCCCCCTCATTAGATAGTAAATTATACTTCCTTATAAAGCGAAGCTTAAAGGAGTCAGTGGAAACAAGAAAAAAAATTGAAGCAAATACAGTCAAAAAGTTTTCTTTCCTTGTCTTTCACAACTTATTTGACCGAAGACACAATTTTCCCATTTCTAAAACGAAAACGAAGCTGAAATTGTTAAACCTAGTGTAGTTTGTAAGCGCTGATTTATTTTCAAAAATAATCTTTAGTTCCAACAGAATGTTAAACAATTCCTAAAACGTAATCAACCTGTATGTAAATTTGGCACTGTTTAAAAAAACAGGAATGGTATAACTTATTTATTTTTAAATTGAGCAGGAAAACGTTTGCATAACGGTAGTGTAAAATTACTCAAAAATATTGATTTGTAAACAAATTTTGAAGTAATATATATATATATATACTACTGTTCCTGTAAAATGAAATTAAGAAGATTAAATAATAAATCCTGGTCTAAAAAGTCTCAAGCCATTCGTTGGATCAACGATTTGACGTAAAAATAGGATTATAACAACACATTTTCTTCATCTATATATATTTATCTGTGTTTAAGAAACACTATTCAACTGATATTGTGATATTTAAAAATAAAAGCAATACATCAAACTGTAAAGAAGCATAGCAATTACCTTACATGAAACATTTAAAAATGTGAGTACTTTGTGGTTAAAATCTGAAAAAAACATCGGCAAAAACAAAGAAAAAGTAAGCTTTTTGTCATTATGTATTAAAGTGATTGAAACAAAAACTAATGATATATGGCACAAACAATTTGATTTTACATTCGGTTATAAGAAAAAGGTATGCAATTCATCGCGCGTGCGCACTAATGATAAGGAATAATTTTCTATGTGTTCTACGAGCAAAATCTATTGAACAATTTTAGTAAAACATGAAATAAAATGAAGTTTCTCTTCCAGCAGTTTAAAATACCCCGTTTCTTATATGTACTTACTTTATAATTAGTTTAAACTAATAAAAAGCATGAAAATGTACTAGATAGTTTAAAATGGTTACAATTTAATAGGATTATTAGAAATAATTATTACTTTTTAACAACATAATATAATAACGTTTTACGTGTAACATAGAACAGTAATTTTCCTAATTTTGATGCGTTTTTACAGGGACAGATTGAAAAGTGGGGTTCCCCCCCCCTCTCTTTTTATGCCACTGATTTACAGAGTAACTTGTTACATGGCAAAAAGAAGAGATTTTCATACAAACACTTCAGGTACAAATTTAAATTAATCTGAATCCACAAATATTCAATGAATTTTAAGAGATCTTCATAAGGTGGAATACCGAAACGATTATATGTGTGAGAAGGACATCAGTGTAATAACATTATTGTTAAAATGAAAGAATCACGACAATTCTGTAAATAAAAAAACACTGATAGGAAAAAACGGCACCGCTGTTTGGTCTTTAAGTTCTCCAAAATTTCCAGTTTAGTGGTATTTTTTCTTTGCCTTATGGGTCTCCTCTTTCTTTCCCTTATGGGCATCCTCTTTCTTTGTCTTATGGGTATCCT